CGTGAGTGTGGAGTGTACTATGTGAGGCGGTGTGTACTTTGGTAGGATATCAGCAGAGAGGAGTAGAACAGGGGATCCAGCTGTGGGTCCGTCACTCAGGCAGTCAGGATGGTGCAGCGCTTCAGTCTTCGTAGACAGTACTCCAAGGTAAGCTTAAACACACTTGGCTTGTCACTAAAACCACGTGTCTTCCTGTCTCCATGCTACAGATCCATTTACAGCTGAAGCCCGGTTTGTATTACATTTTTGCTGCCAGCCTTGTATTATCTCTGTAATACTTGTGTCATGCATTACCATTTTTCCATCTCTCTTCCTTTCTTTATCTTCCTGCTATTTGATAATATGCCAGAAACTGGGGATTCTTTGAGTTTGGTTCAGAAGAGCAGTCAAAATGAACAAACTGACTCTGTTATCATGTGCAGAGGCAGTTCATGATTAAGTATAAAGCATTGTTTGCTCACTTCTTTGATACCAGCAGTCTTTACAGTAAACTGATTTTCTTTTGATCCTTCATTCCCTGTTAAGCAATTCAGTGATCAGTGTGATCAGTGATCAGTGTTTGCACTTTATCTTCGCTCTTGTTAAACAGTAACTCATTCTCCAGTGGTGAGATTGGTAGCATGAAGTCGACTGGCGCCATTACAGAGGGACGTAATTATTGGTAAATGTTGTGTTTGATTATTGCTTATTAGGGAGCATTTATGACTCACTTACAATAACACTCTGTTGGCTGTGCTCGAAAACTGACTATGGGTTTAATGTATCTCTCCCCTGATGCCAGTGCTGTTAAACTGAGTAGAAGGCTTGTGTTGGAAATCAGCAGCAGGTCCGTTAAAAGCCTGCTGTTCTGCAGGTGGTGCTCAGCCTGTGAGCTATAATTACAATTAACTGCTGATTAATTGATTGACTGATTACACCCATACTATTTGTTCTTAACACCATGTTATAAGGCTGTCAGATGCTCATGTGCTAAGAAATGTCAGTGTGTACATGCGCAAATGCTCCGGGCAGACAGATGCACGGTGTCACTTTTAGAAAGACTAGAACCCAGAGTGATAGAGTATAATCTGGTCTACATCCTATTCAAAGAGAGACAAAGTGATAGAGTAAAAAGATATAGAACGTGAAAGGCTACAAGGTGCGAAATGCTCAGCCTCAGGAAGGCTGACTCATTTTGGACAGGAGATGGTGAGGGACAGCCGAGTAGACTCTGGTGTGATATGAGCTACTGAGAAGAAATAAAAACACCAGCCAAACCTTAAGGCTACTTCTCTCACACTAAGAGTTTTGTATCTGAGAGAGATGAAGCAGTCTTTGTCTTGGGAGATCATAATCTCCTCCAGGGCCTGTCTGCGAATGCTCACTATCCGCATCCCATCCAAAAGTGGGCTGTCGGGAAATACTGTAAAGGAAAGAGGTCGGGTAGGTGACCCCTTCTCTTTCCCTTAAGCCACATCTCCACATGCACACCTGTGTTCCTGTTCATCCTTTGTCTTCTGTTGTTTATCTTTTTATTTTGGCATGCTGTGCTCTGTAGAAAAGCCCCAAATCTGCACAGTTTTATAATTTGCTGATTCAAACTGAAAATGCACTCAAATGTGTGTTTTGTTATAGCTGTATCGTAAGATAGGATGTACTTTTTTTTGGTAAGTTATTTAGTTATTAAATGGTTTAAATTAGCTTATTATATTAAATTGAGTATATTTTACATTTGTTTTGAATTTAACACAAAAAGTTTGATCCCGTCGTAATAATCAGTAACAATTTGACTGAAAACTAAACATGAATCTCAGAATATATGCAGCTCTTTTGCCTTAGTGACAACATTTTCTCAGGCTGGCAGGGACACTGTGAGCTTGTTGATAAATGTTTTCCTAACATGATATGACAGTGTTGTCTTGTCTGTCTTTCTCAGTCTCATCCTATCCATCCATTTTAGCCACTTGAAGGTCGCTGGGGGGCTGAAGCCTATCCCAGCTGTCACGGGGTGAAAGGTGGGGTACACCCTGGTCAGATCACCACTATATCATAGGGCCAACACACACAGATTATTACACCAGTTTACTTAACATACATGTCTTTAGGCTATGGTAGGAATCCGGAGTACCCAGAGAGAACCGGGAACAGGGAGTACATGGAAACTCCACACAGAACAGCCCAGCTGGCTGGTGGATTTGAACCCAGCCAGACCACCAGACCTTTGCTAATCTCTGCAGCACTGTCCCCATGTGATCAGATAAATATTCAGTGGGGTTAAGGTCCAGTGTCCTTGATTTTCCTGGCTTTATTTAATTGTTACAACGCGTTGAGTCATGTTAGCCTTCATAATCATGTTGTATGAATCTTTCTCTAAAAAGATGGATGCACCCGGGGAATGTAGCATCTCTGAAGCACAGGTTGCTCTTTCTACTAATCAAATTGTCATTGATTGAGTCATGTAATCAGCTCCAGACTAAAACGCCCCAACAGTGATTCTTTATGTATTGATAGTATCATTGTCTCTCATTAAATTTACCAGTATCACCTTTTCCATTCAAACACTGTGAAATGCAGGCATGTTTTAGCATGAGGTTTTGCTATTTCTTTTTTTTTTTACTCTCCTGAGATATAGTTTAGAGATAGCTGCTCCTGCTCTGAGCTTCTTTTGTTGTTGAGTCTATAGTATCTAGTATATATAGCTTCTTCAATATGATAAGAGACAAATTGGTCTCTGACTAGCAGCCAGTGTAGGAATCCTAATATGGGAGATACGTGGTACATGATGAATCCATCTAGATGTCTGATGACTCTATAGTTTTTGGATGCATTGGTTGGAGGATGTGTTGCAATACCTGCCCACCAACTGCAGTATCTTAGGGTGGTGGGCAGCTCTGGGGACTGGTGCGAACTGAACTGTCTGCAACTTAGCGTCACAAAATAACAAACCTGAGGGTGGGTTGGAGATCCAAAAAGTCTCCATTACTCCTCTTTTAATAATGAAAGAGTTCATTCTTTTCTTTGTGGAGAATCTGGTCCTTCTGTAGTCTATAGGCCATATGTGCTAAAATCTGAGGGTGAATAATTATTGGCTTTTTAAATCTTTTAAGTTTTTAAACAGTGTTTTTATTCCTGATCTCCTAAAGATTCCATTTTTTAAAACACTGAGTGTTGTAGCCAGTTTCAGTGTGTTTTCTGTGGTCAGGTTGTTAATGATGTCTGGCAAAGAATAGATGTTTATGTAATAGCTTCATTTGGGCTCCCGGGTCACATTCAGCCTATTCAAGGAAGTCGCAAATGCACTGATTGAATAGAGGAAGTGACAGATTTTCATCTATATGTGGATCTCTCTGTTTGTGGTCATATACGTCTTTTACTCTTTCTGTGCTGTCTTTCTTTTGAACCTTTCATTTAGTGCACCTGAAATTTGTAAGTGTTTAAAAATTCAAATTAAACTCCTATGTCTTTTTTTCAAACATTTTATTACTGCTAAAAAAAAGTCTAACAATTATTTGTTTTCTGTTAATTAGCTTCTTAAATCAAAAGTAGTCATCAAAATTAAACTAATTGAAAAATCCATAGCAGCTACTCGCTTTCACACTTCAATTATGCATTTATGATTGGTAATTTTAACAGTTGCCCCTAATAGGACTGCTTTTTAGAAAGTGTTTGTTAAAAGCAATGACTTGTTAAAGAAGGGTTTGAGTTTTGTGTGTTGCTGTGGCAGTGTTTATGAGAAAAGCAGAAGGGAGAAGTGTCAGTGGAAGGAACCGAACTTCACCTGGTCCCCCGAGGCTTGTTCTGTCCCTGCTACTTTAACATCCCCATCACTGCACTCCCATCGTCTCTCACCTCCTCAGGCTATTGGCTGTGTGTTGATGAAAGCGTTTTTGACCTTTGCATCAGGACAGAACAGCTCATCCTAGAACTATTTTAGTGACATTGAGTTTTTTTGAAATCGGCAAAAGACAAGCATGATGTCTCGCTTACCCAGAGTGCTGATGCAAATGAATGGTAAAGTCTTAACAAACCCCTGCCACAGCAGATTGCCCTTTAGTCACATAAAGACAGAAACAGAAGCAGGCAGTCAGACTCGTGTATAATCAAACAACTGAGTTTCGATTGACTTTTAGCAAAGAGAGAGAGCGCGTGTGTGTGTTTGTGTGTGTGTGTGGAGGCAGGGGAGAGCCACAGGGATGATGAAGCATGTGCTCTTAGTACACACTGGAGGTGATCTCATCTCAGCCTGTTCACTAACCACCAGCCTGTAGCAAATTGGTTTTCAGGCTCTATCTGTGTGTTTGTGTGTGTGCTGTCAGTGCACCATCACGACTATGTGGTTGTTGACTGAAATTAGGATGCAGCATAAAGCAATCAGTTGGCAGCTTGTGATGTTGTTGACTTTCGGGCAGACACTGAAATTTGTTCTCAAATGCTTCTGTCTTCCTTAACTTTCCCCTCCTAGCATTGTAGGGGAAAGTTTTCATTCCTGTCATCTCTCACTCTTCTTTTTTTGCTTATCTATGAAAACAAAGTCTTCTCTTTTGTTCATGTAAGTGTGTAAATATTGCCTTGTCTACTTTTTCTGAGACCATTGAGTTCAACTAAAACATCAGTGATGTGTTTCTGTCGTGGTTGATTTAAATTCTATACTGTGGCTGATCATTGATCACCTAAGCAAACACTAATATCAACAGTGGATTTAATACAATGGATGCTCTGTTCTTTATCACATCTTGTTTTGAGCTCTCTCATTATTTGTATTACTTGCTTGCTGTGACTTTTGTGTGTCTGTGCAAGTATTTGATGTGTTTGCTCAAATAAGCATCCAATTTAGTCAAGTTCTTCACCACTACGAGACACCAGAACATTTTCAGTGCTTTACTTGGCTGATAAATGTAATTCTTTGGCAAGATATTTACTCATCTGGTGTTTTGGTGTTTCCAGAGATTGCAGTAAGGTCTCCCCCACTTCTTGACACTTTGGCAAATTTGGAGTCTATAATGACCTGCCAACCAGTAAGTGTTATGACATATCATACCCTATCCCGCGTGGATGCTTTGTAAAGATTACTGGTAGAAGTAATGAAGTATGATTATTGTGAGAAGAATTTGTGTCCAATTTTTGCAACACAGTATGAGGTAAGGTCACCATTTCAAATTTAGCCAAAGATATATTTAGAGATATTTCAAACTGTCATCTTGGACTGCCCAAAGTCATGCAATACACGTGTCCGTGTGCGGATGTGTGGGCAAATGTTCTACATTCATTAGATTTCTCCTTTTATGCAACTACCTGTAGTTCTCTATTTATTTTTCAGACTCTGAGATTTCTCCACTTGTGGGAAATCTCATGCGGTTTCCTCCAGCATCTAAAATTAAACCCGAAGTTTCCTTGCTGAACAAGCATGTGAATCTGCTACACTGCTTGTTACTCATGTGTCACACTTCCTCAGCAGCTTTTCTGACTTCACTGTTTTGATCTCCACACCCCCTTTACCTTGTCACTGTTTTCCTTGTTTCATGTCTTAGAGGCAGTCCTTCTTAAGCGCTCGCTCTCTCGGGCTTCCTCTCATCTGTGTCCAGTGCTCAGACAGTGTAGCCAGTTACCCGTCTCCATGGTAACAGTGTGATGTTCAAAGAGGTTTGCAGCAGCTTTGCTCAGCTGAATGCTTGCAGGTTTGCTGTCAGATCTCGCAGCCACCTCATCTGCTTGTGTAGTGCAATAACACCTTCCTAGAGGAGAGAGAAGTGCTTCCTAAAATTAGACTCCTGTGCAGTTTTCCAGATCTTCCAATCTAATGTTGTACACTATGTAAATAAGCACTTTCTTGTCATGTGGAATGGCATCATATCGCTTGTTCGCTTATTGCTTATGACTATTTCCTGTTTTCATTCTCTTTTAATGTAAAGTTGGAATTTGGCAGTTAGAATAAATTACTTGTATTAGGCAATTTACCAGACCCCAGCTGGAGTTCTTTACAGTAAATGTCTAACTCTAGAGTAGATTTCGTGCTTAGGCTTTAGTATGCAATGTGTGCATACATATGCACTGTGTGTGTGTGTGTTTCTGTGTTTTCCTTTGTGTGTGCTTGAACTCTACACCTCTCTGTTTGTGTTCCCTTTGAAGCATATCCTCAACCTGTTTAATTAAGCTCTTGAATATTCATGTAGTTGTACATATAGGCCAACGCCTTTTTTCCGGTCCTGCATGCTGTTAGTATTCACAACACTAGTCTGGCACTCATGCTCACAGCAAAGGTTAACAGTTAATGAATAAAAAGTCATTTTATGTGTGAAATTCTTGTTGAAACGTCCCTCCAGATGTTATGGTGTGAAAGGAAGAAAACAGGAAAGACCTCTGTGTTGAGCTGGGGTAGGGGAATGTTTGAAACACTGATGCAGTGGTGTATGGGTAAAGGTCGATGTTGATCAGAAAGATGGATAGACTTTTGGAGAAAAGAAGAAAATCTCTGAGGTTCTTTTTTTTCTCTCAGTTCCCTCTTAGTTTTCTAATCTGGGTCTGAATGAGGAAGAAGCCTGCTGTGCCTTCTTTGCCTATTCTATTAATAGACAACTGTCTGAACCAGTGTTAACCAAGTTCACTTTCAAGTGTGTCTGAATGATGTTATTTATCTATAACCCCCCCCAGAAATATATATTTATGCAATTTTTAAGGTTTCCATAATCTTGTGTGTTACTAGACCTCTTTGTCTCTTGTGAAAAAGACGCAGTTGAAAGTAGCTTTTGTTAGACCTCTTTATTAGAGCTTTTCCAAAGATGAATTGCATTTTTATGTTTAATTATGTGGTCGCTTGAGTACACCGCCACCCCCTCTTAAAATAATATGATTTAACTTTAACCATATTTTAAAAAAAAAAAAAGTTTTAATTGGGTGTCTGTGCATGAGGTCGCGTGCATATATGTGCACATGTCAGCAAGAAGTCTCCGTGGGTCATCGTTTGTGTATTTATTTTGGTCCTGCAGCTGGTCCTTCCTCTTTGGCCTCGTGTGAGTATATGTGACACTAGTGTGGGCACGCATGTGTGTCTTTGTTGTTTTCTCAGCCGTTCCAAGGTTGCTACATACTTGGTCAGTCACTCGCTGAGAATATTTGGGTCAACCTTAACCTACATGTCTGTTCCCCGGACACCGTCCTCTGTCCCAGTCCATCTTTAGTGTGCACACTGCTTGCTTTCATTTATCCAGCTGCCAGTATTAGCTCTGAATTTGATTTCCTTCAGCTTGGTCGTCAAAATAAACTAGCTGCATCTATCTGATGAAGTGTTTTCTTTAGTTTTCTGCTCCTTATTCAGATAGACCAGCAGATTGTTTTCAAAGGGAAATTGCTCATTCTGAGAGATGGAGAGCAGAGAAACAGACTAAGAGAGGTCGTGCTCTGCATCCCTGCCACTCCCTGTGCAGTCTATATCATTCGCCTGACTCTGTTGAATTATGGATGAAACTATTTATCGCTGAGCTCAGCTCTGCTCCACTGACCCACTTGCACACACATTTCAAATCTGGTCAGAATCTCTCGGGAAATCTCATCATATTTTCCTTTTTACTAATAACCAGAGCCATTCCTCTCATTCTCATGTGTGTCAATTTGTAGCAATCCCAGGAATCTCCATTTTCTCACTGTCCACCTCTTACAAGGTCTCCCGTCTGTACTGGACATCACATCATTGAAATGAGTTGTGTTTTTTGTGTCAAGAGAGAGTTTATATTGAATTTGATTGTGGTTGCCTTTTCCTCCTCATTGATATAGACACATCTTTAATTTTCTGACAATATCTCGTCTCTAGATCTCCTGTCTTGTAAATTAATATAGGCAATTACATTATTTCTACTTTCCATCTCCATGACATGTCCCTCCTTCATCTCTGTTCATATTATCAGCCAACAAGTCATCTGTGTGCTTTGATGTTACTCACTAATCAGAGCTGAATTATGCTACAACAAAGGCCTGCACGTCTGTCAGCAGGACAAGTGATAGCGGAAGAATGCAATAAAAATACAACAAAACCTTGAGTTTATTGACAGGAAACCTGTCAGGAAATGAAATACCAGACAAAGCACTAACACAGGGGACAGCAGTCGACACACATCATGTAGCATCGTTGTGCTTTAGCTCCCCCTTGTGGATAATAAGCAATACTACTCATTGAGTAGTTGGTTGTGTAAATTTGTGACATTCTCTTATAGTTTTATGTTTTGATCTCTTGATCTCAATAGCAGCAGAAACTAATTTATTAAACTAGGTATTATTTATTAAAATGTAGACCTATGTTGAATATGTCAGATAATATGGGGCATCAATCTTTAATGAGAGCAGGTAGAGTAGCAATGGCAGGAAAGGGGCAGACAGAGCTGTTATAAATTATGGTTGTATTGAATCACTTAAATGGAACTGGGCCATCATTAAAGTAATAAATGGCACATGTAAGTAAAAAAAAAAAAAAAGTTTAATTTTCACCAAAGAAACCCAAGCAGTGTATTTCCTGAGTCACAAAACTTATGTATGTGTGACTCAGGATAATGCATGCATAACATGCACGCAAACGTATTGCTTGATTGCGTGCATATGTTGTGAAATTAGTCTCAGTACACAAGATACCCAGAGCCACCAAACTTTGTTTTTCAAGATAGTCTTAATCTGGAAACGAGAGAAGAAGATTTTCATTAGATTTAGCTGCCCTGTAACGACATGAGCTTCCTACTAGACAAGTGCCTCTACTCATTATCTGTCTTCCTGTTATGAAATCGGCTGCTTCTTAGTGGAGGCTTGCAAAACTTCTGAAACAGTACCCAGAGGCCAGACCATCCAATAAGTCTGCTTAAAAGTGAGTAGTGAGATTAACACAGAGGCAAAAAGTGAGAAGAGGCCAGACTAAATAATCCTCCAGGGCCAAAAAGCTGGGACTGCTTGTTCTGGATTCTTCATCTTCCTGCTTATGAATAGGCTGGCTGTGTTTGGGCTTACATACTGCCCCATGGTACCGAACATTGTGCAGCATCCTGCCAGACTAAGTCTGCGTTTTGGGTCGGTGCCCTTTCTGTTCCACGTTGCATAACCAGGATGACTGAGTATAAACAGAAGCAGGGCCAATAAATGCCAGCTACCACCAATAGACCAACACCGTGTCTCCCCATGAACCCACTCTTATGTTTTCCTGCACGTATACGCACACTGCTTTGCTGTGTACACTTTGACACATCCATTACTCACATATATCACAGCATCACATCCACATTCAGACTTAGAAACTTAATGGAAAACCAAAAAAAACAACAAAAAGGTTCAGGTGCTACAACATACAGGCCTTTTGAGGCTGTTACAATACAGATATTTAAGCCTTTTATGAAACTGTATGGCTGCTGTGTTGACATTAATGAGGTCTACATGACTTCGAAACCATTGTGTGTAGTTCTGTACTGCAGTTTTTTGTTACATATTAGCTGAATAATAGACAGTTATTGGCTACGTCTGTACTAGGCTGATATCAGCCCGTGTAACGGCCTCACCCACTTTATGAGGCTATCATTACTGCAGGTAAATGGACATGCCATGTATATGTAGTTTTCCACGGCCTCTGCAGTAGGCCCTGAACAAGTGTGCTGGCCTGTGACTATTTTTATAGTATTTGTTTAGCAAAAAGTAGCTCCAGTGAAAATAAGGTAAAGTATATCAGTAGTTTAGGAAAGCGACTGTATACATTTATCTACACGTGAAACCCTTCTAATGATTTGATTGAACCCACATCTAAAATCTGGTAATACTTAAATTCATTCTGAACACATGATTACTTGTCAGATGTCGAATGTTTTGCATTCACAGTTGTCAGTTTCAGCACAGGACATGATAACAGATAATTGTTTGGGTTGTTGTTATGGACATTTCTTTCTTTTCCTTCCTGTTTGGCTCTTGTCGAAGCCAGGAATTGGCTGGCTATGAAGATGTTTCACACTCTTGGATGCCACCAGTTATAAATGTCCATGTGTATAAAGTGCTCAGGGGTTTATGTAACTGCTAATAGGGCCATTGATTATACTGGAGCCTAGACTAGTGAGAACTGGACAGCCAGAGTTGGAAAGAGGGCTTTTTGTTATGGGGGAAGGTATTGTTGAAGAAGGCCAGAGGCCCGAGTCATGGTTATCTCCTCTTTTAGGCTTGAATTACCATCAGTCTGTGCAGACAAACCTCTCACTCTTCTGCCTTTATGTAACTGCTCATCTCCTGCCACCAGACCATACTACACAACTTACTGTCACATGGAGCGAGCTGTGGTGTTACCCCTGCATAAAAAAACTAACAACTTTTGTTTAATTCTGCAGTTAGATGCAAAATTTCAGGACAAATGCATCTAACTTGTTGCTCCAGTTATAAAAGCTCAAGGTTAAGGTTTGGAAGGGTTTTGCATTGTATTGTTAATCTTTGCATAACTTTCTGTTTATAAAACGTAGAGAATTTATCCTTTCCCAAACCACAGTCCAGTTACATCAGACCCAGTCTCTTCTTTGTCTCTTCTGGATTTTTCCAGAACTTTTTTTTGGCTGTGGAGCACAGACCTGGCTTTAATTCAGCGCTAAGCTCTGTCCTCTGAACGACACTTTCCATTATTATGGCCCTGTGCGCTGGCTGAGTAAACACATCCACACAAGTTGTTTTCTGTGTCTTTGTGTGTGATGTCATCAGCTCACAGCACTGTTAGTTCAAAACAGTATTTTTTTAAGAGAAAGAAAAATCCTTACTGTTAAACTCGTGTTTTTATTTTTTGATTAAAAATGTAAAAAAGGACAATACAGATACATTTTACCAAGTTAGAGTAACAGCGGAGGTAATCAGACTTGAGCTTTAAGTGTCACCATAACAGGCGGTGTGGTTTATACCATCACAGGTGTTTTAGAGATAGTATAATATTTTTATATATTATATTCTCTGAAAGCGCATTTGAAACCTATACATTTTGCTGTTTAACTTAAAATATCTAATCACTTGGCAGCACTTCATTGCATTTTAGGGAGATAACCTGCTGAACTACAAAATGAGAACCAGAATAGAGAAGAATGGTAATTTAAGTTCATACAGGCTTACCAAAATTGGACAATAGAAGACTGCAAAAATAGCGTCTGGTCTGATGGGTCTCAATTTCTGCTGTGACATTTAGATGTTGAGGTTAGAATTTGGCGTAAACAACATGAAAGCATGGATCTATCCTGCCCTTTATCAGTGGTACAGGGTGGCTGTGTAATTGCATGGGGGATATTTGCTAGTCACACTTTCAGTACCAGTTGAGCATAAACCACACAGCCTACCTGAGTAGGCTCAATTTAATAGAGCGCCTTTGGGATGTGAAGGCAGAGGGGGGTCCAGTGGCATACTGCACCTAATAAAGTGGCCGATGAATGTATGTTGATGACTTTATTACAGTGGTGGTGAGTTTCCTGCTGGTTTTGGCTAAAAACCAGTTAGAGGATGTCACAAATCAATCTATGTAGGAAAATCACTGATGTATCATTGTAGACTGAAGGTGTGTCATTGACTGGAAACGCATGCTTATTCTTTACTGACTTTAAACATCAGCAGTTCAGCAGGTCTTTCCCCTTTTCTATATCTCTGCAATGCAGTTCTTTGTTATTTTTTTAACGTGAGTAATTGTACTGGGTCTAAATAAAACTTATTAATTCACATTCATTTCCAACTTTGCTCTTCAATGCACCATCCAGATGTCTCTTAGTGAACCTGATATATGCATATTAATCTTAACTCCTTAGTGGTAACCTAAAAAGTATTCGAACAAGTCAAAATAATATATAAATCATGTTTAATCTGACATCAAAATGTTAAGGATAAAGTTAAGGCTAAATATTCACCAATATGCAAAAGATGTATAATCTAAAATGAAGACAAAACTGTGTTTTGACACAAAATGGAATAAAATATTCTCTCTATTAGCTTTTGGGAGTTTCCTCTGAGTTTCAGTCAGCTTTGCTTTCAGTTTTTTTCCCCCAAAAAGCGATCCCATTGGTGCTTTATGGGATTTAGGTCAGGACTCTGGAAAGGGGCATTTTAGAGCTTTTATTTTCTCCATGGTGAAATACTCTGTCACCACCTCTGTTACTTTCGTTTTTTCGCTTGATTCGGCTGATCCTTTGTTTAAGATTCAATCGAACATTTGTGATAAATACAGTTCAGCTAAAACAGTCACAGAAATGACTGTCAACTCTTTGTTTTATTACGTTTTAGTTGGTTTTCCCCTTGTAGCTTAAATTTTGGGTCATTCAACCGTCTACTGCCTATCTGTGCAGAGTTAATCCTGGTTGTCTTTCTTATAGCTTATTCAGCATACTGCACTTTCTTTGAACCACTATTTGTTGATCCTGTTTCTAATCCTCTGTTAAATTAAATGGATCTTGTGATCTCTGAAGCAGTCCTTCCTGTTGTTTTTTTTTTTTTTTGGGGGGGGGGGACTCATAATCATGAGTCCATTTTGCTGCTGGTCTTCATTGCTCTGCTTGTGTTCCTTCTGTTATAAGTCAAGACCTCTGTTTTTGAACATTTTGACAATATACTGTGAAAAGTGGAAGATTAGGTTATTTTCTGGTCTGGTGAACAGAGTGGCCTTATTTTATAACAATATTTATTGCTTGATTCCTGAGCTCAGTGGGTTGTTTTTGCCCATTTGTGGAGTTGTTTTTAATTAAATCCAGGGCACTTGTGGATGGAGATGGACAGAGTTAGTTGAAAAATCTGAACTTTTCCAAAAGAATTTAAATTTAAGAGGTAATGTTGTGCTTTTTCCTTTAACAACCTGATTCATTAATTATTTACTTTTGGTGCCATTTTAATGTATTGTAAAGACATAATCCTTCTATTACTGTCTCAGTTAATGTGTAGCTACTAGTAATTAATTTCTGTCAATGTAAATAACACCTAAAGTGAGCCACAGCTGTTCTTTCTGTCCCCTAATTTTAGCCAGCTAATGTGGTGCTAATGAGGTATAGCTGCCTCTGAGGCTAGCGTCTCTATTTATTTCTGTTCCGGTGTCAGTCACTTGTCATGGCATGAGTGCACCACCACCTGTGATTTGTGTCATTGAAACTTTGCTATTTGTTGCATGTTGTTAATCCCACCAAAGTTTATGCTGAGTCACTGTAAAAGCTTGATCATTCCTGGATAGCCAAGAGTCGCTGAAGGCCATATTTGCCGTGCGAGAGAATTTGACTTCAGGCTGGAATGACACTGACAGTAGAGCAAAAAAATGTGTGTCATTTAGTCACAACTGATGGGAAAACACCTGTCAGAAGTTCCAGTCATGGATTCCCCGAACAACTAAAGGGTTACGGTTAAGACGCCTCTAAGAAAATTTATCTGTACTTGTGCTCCCTGTAGTCTTGTTTTTATAGGTTTTTACAAAGTGAGGATTCACCCATCTTTAAATTATTACTTTTTAAAGTTTGTTACTATTTGAAAAACTGCCAGGCTCAACTACTTAACTGGTAACTGGTAGTTAGCTGGTTAACATTTTACCCTAGTTAAAACTAGATTAACTGACAACACTACAGCAAACATTATTTGGTATTAGTAATCCAGATTTTTTAGCAAATCATTGTAAACTACTAAAGTTAGTTAATGCTAAGCCTTTGAGTGGGAGACCCCATTTCTTTGGGTAAAAGTTAAAGAGACGGTCAAAAGTATATACTGTTTGTCTGAATGGGAATTGTTGCCAGTAAAGGGAAAATATTATTATTCGTGGCTCTACAGATGTGCAGATATAGTTTAACCTATTTTTTCTATATTTACATTTTCCAATGTAAAGCCTTGGCTCAAATTTGAAACCACAGATTCTGCCATGTGTCCCTTTTATTCAGTACTGGGGTCAAACATACACATCTCACAGCGAGTTGGACTTGTTATACTTCTTATATAAGCACTCTTCTCCCTAATTCCTACCCGCTCTCTTCCAGTCCCCAAACCTCTCCTGCTTTCCCATTAAAGCCTGTATTCGTGCTCCTGTTGCCCTGCTCCTCCTGTCGGCTTGGGCACAGAAGTCTTCAGTTGCCCTCGTCCTGCCATACCACTCCACACCATTCCCCCTACACCCACTACTTCCAGTGCTTTTTCTTTCTTTTTTTCTACCTAATTGTACACCACAGTTTCATCATGACGCGAAAGACTCTGAGGCTCATAAAAAGGTGTTTGTAGTATATTTGGATGCCAATTTGTGCTTTAATGCAGTGAAAATGATCAACCTGAACGCAAAATTACAACTGTGTGCCGTCTCAGTTCTTCTGGACTGTTTACTAACAAACACTGTTTTGCACTCTAATTATGGCCATCCTCTCTATAAATTACCAATACTCCACTGTTTTGTAGCACAGGGACCCAATTATAGGCTTATATTTTTTGAATTGCAGCCTTGCGATGATCATGCAACTGTATAATGTCAGTCCTTTCTTGTTGTTTGATTTCTCCAACTTAAACTAGAATTATCCACGCATTAGTGCTTTTCTGCTGGACAGTTATTTTGTTCAGTGTGGGGGGGTTTTTCTTTTCTTTTTTGATCAGTAGAAGCATCTAGTCCAGTCTGTTACAGCGTGATCACTCAGTAAACTGATTGGCTGAGACAATCAAACTGTGATAATTAAAAGGAGGGAATGGAAAAGTTCTCTCTCCTTTTTTCTGCCTGAACTAGCTAATGTTTTGGAGCTGAACTGGCCTAGAAACTCAAACAGAAGAAAAGCCCCCCTCCCTCCCTTCATGAGGCTTTCTCACAACCCCTCTCTCCTTTGCGCCTTCTCTCACTCCGTCTCCCTCTCACTGACAGCTCCTGGTGGGATCTTTTTTTCTTCTGTGCTCCTTTTGCTCCCCTCACATCCGTTCTCTGGGTCTCTGCCTCTCTGCCGCTCTTTCCCCCCGTCTGCGGATTTTATGCCCGATGGACGCTTTGAACGCTTAACTTCGCAGTAAACTCTCCCTGCTTTTATCCCAGGCTACATCCAGCGCAGCGAGCCTTCGTATGATTAACATTCTCTGTACTGTCACCCACCCCCAAACCTGCGTTAGATGGGCTCATTGGTCCAGAGGAGTCTTTCTTCTTCCACTAATGTACGCTCTCTGTGGGAGTCGTGCCTGTCGAAGTGCATTGGCTCTGCACAGGCTCTCTGTCTGAAGCGTGTGTTTGAACTCAAGCTTCGTTCATGGGCTTTGAGGAGCAGCAGCCCTGTGAACCAGCAGCAGAACATAATGTAGACTCTGCAGCTATCAGTAGTCATGGTACATTGTTGGAGTGACTGTGCATTTTATGGATTCTGGATATTCAATCAAGCCAGCAGTAATTCCGTGTCCAGTGGGGTCTTTGCAACTGTGGACTTTGAGTGAAGTGGACTTTGTTTGGAAGAAGTGTCCTGACTGATGTGTGCTGTGCAAGACCCAGGCTCCTCTCCTTTCCTTTCACTGTATTTTTTTCCCCGAGAGACACGCAAACAAATAGAGAGACCAAACAAATATTCCACTCCAAGCTGCACGCATGCGTGTCCCACTCATGGAGGTCATCCTTAACCTGGTAACTGCTGACACCTCTCCACTTCCTACCCCCAACACCACAGTGAGTCTCCACATGTGTATATAGTGTGTGAGGTTGTTTGTTATGTTTGTAAAGACTGTTTACAGTCTTGTAAAGGTGTTTATAGCGATATGGTGCTTGCTTACATATCAGTTCAAGTAGGAGTGCTGTGTGCACTGTGTCTGTAATAAATAAAACACAGATGTCTTGCTCGAAAAAAGGATTTTGTCCTGAAGTGTTTTTGCAGTAGTGAAAATACTTTTTTTTTTTTTTTTGCACTCTCCTTTCCTTAGTGTGTGCACTGATAGGCTTTGGCTGTATTATAGTGATTAGTAATGAAACTTTGTGGATTCAGTCATTCGCGAGTACATGTGTTGGGTAAACTGCCCCTTGTTCAGCATCACATGGAGTTTAGTAATTTTCCATATCCTGTGAATGGAGTTCATTGTTGCCACGTTGGATACACTTAAAGGAAACAACAAGTGGATTTTCATCAAATCATCAATTTCAACTGAAATCACAAGATGGTGATGCAGGGGAGCAGAAAGTAGGGTTGGGGTTAAATGTGGCACATAGTAGTCCAATGCACAAATGTTTTATATTAAAATTACAATAAATAAATATTAAATGCAGCACCAGACTTTTTGGGCCCGTGAACGTTCCACTAAAGGCCTATTTCACACATAACCTACCGCAACTAACTAAGTGTTTGACCGTGTGTTTGCACACAGTGTCAAACGCTGAAACGCTCATAAATTCAGATCTGTTAATAAAAGATCACTCAGTACTGTTAAGCTGTTACTTTGATGACTGTGTTCACTCTGATATCTACGCTGTACGGTTAAAGATCAGATCAACTAATCAGCAGTGTGAAGTTCAGACAGTCATGGATGACCGGCTTTGATGCAGGGTGTTTAATAAAGTCACAGAGATACGAGTCATATAAATGGAGAGGCGACAGCTGTGTAGTGCAAAATGAACAGAGCTGAAAGGGATAGCTAAAAATCCTCCCTCTTACAATAGTTCTCATCCTTCATGGATATTGGACTCTGTAGATAACATACTCAACTTACTGATATGACTTGAATTATAAGGGAGGCACCTTTTCCACACTTCAGGGAATATTATAATAGGGGGGGTGTGGATCAGAGCAGATTTCTCAGAAACATGGAGTTGCAACGTCCTCGGAGTATCACTCTTGCATCTTGCCATTTGAAACTGCTGCTTCTCAAGAAACACAAACTAACAACACAGGAAGCCCACAGCTAGAATGCGGGGCTTAATGAATAACAAGGTACTGTACTTTTCACACTTTCACACACACAAATAATGAAAACCCGAACTTGACAGCAAGAAACATAGAACGTGGTATGGTCACTTAGGTGTTTCTTGCAAAAAGTACAACAGTGAGCTGTGCCGTGGTTGCGTTGCATTGTAATGTTTATATAAAATACCGTAGATCTGTTGTATAAGCTATGACTCTCAAACATAACAAATGGGAAGATAATTTTGTTTCATTCTGAAACATTTACTATGACAAACATACATATTTAAACAGCAAGCTACAGTCAGGGTCAGTGTGGAGTTTTAAATTCCTCTGGCCTTGATCTGGTTAGGGTGTAGATATCATCAGCATGCGACAAGATCCTAAGACTGTGTCTATTTCCACTGTTTGTCCTCGAGAACATCCTGACTCTAGCTGTCCTCGATCTCACCTGAGTTAACTCACAAAACAACAAACACATTAAACTCAACTCAGAGGAGACAGACGGAGCGCCTGATGTATCTGGTGTAGAAAGAAAGGAGAAGTGAAACATTTTGATCACAAAAAATAGGAAAGAGACGTATGACAGTCTAATTTCTGCTCGGTGACCTACATTGAACAAAATGGATTTTGGGGGCATGTGTCCTCTGCAGTTCAGAGAGAGTGAGATGGGTAGTACAAGATGTTCTTGTTGCATGTGTCTAATTATATGTGATGCACATCTAACACCATTAGCTTGGTAAATTCTTGCCTAAATGCCTATTTGTGTGAGGTTTACTTCGCAGGTCTCGGTGTTTAGGTTTAGCTCGGCTTTTCCCAGGCCTGTGGTCGATCCATGCTAAGTCAGTGGTGGCCTTTCATGGCTCTAACAAGCTTTACTGGATCCGAGGCTGTTACACACACCAACCTGTGGCCCCGGTTTGGGACATAGGTAGAGTAGGTTTTCTCTGAAGTGTGTGTGTGTGTGTGTGTGTGTGTGTGTGTGTGTGTGGTGTGTGTGTGGCAGTTCTTCTGTGTGTGTGGTGTGTGTGTGCTGTGTGTGTGTGTGTGTGTGTGTGTGCGTGTGTGTGTGCAAGGAGCTGAAGGGCAGGGGACAAGTCCATACAAACCCTTTGTTTGTCATTTTAACTGATAAAGTCTAATCACAGGGGGGTGCACACCACCCTGCTCCCCAAATTACCAACACACACACACAAAACGTCCCTAATTAGGCTGCACAGACTCCAGTGGTGCAGTGCGTGTCACTTCTTGCTTCAGTGGCTCAGTACATCGACATGTTTGGCTATGTTAATTGAGGGAAATTAGTCTGATCCTTCAGCTCATGATCTTTAATTTGTTGCATGATTAGTCACACTAAAAGTCAGACATTTGAAGATGACACTGATCGTACAGGCAATGCTGATTTGTTTAGTAACTGAAAGCCAGGGATGAAGCATTGCTTTGCTATGTGTGTGGTAACATTAGATCATATCTTGCAATGGCCAGTCATGGCGAATCCGTGATCTGTCTTTAGAGCCGGGAAGGCGCACAGCTGATCATTACTGCTTGAACTGGTTTCTTCGCTTTACCTAACAGAAGAAATGTGCTGATAGTAATTTGGGTTTTTGTTTTTTTGTTTTTTGGATCCGCACGTTGGTTTGGTGCCAGTGTGTACAGGTCACTAGGGCTTCTTATCACAATGTCTAAAATTTATCTGTGCTGCACTGCAGGGTCCTCCAGTACAAAGTATACTGCTTACTTGTCCTTTGCTCTCTTTATCTTTAGTAACTGGGCAGACATTTGATTATGCAGTTATTGTGTCACCTGGAAGAAAAAGGGGAAAACCAAATCAAGCGTGTGTGCTTCATTCATGCTCGCCCTTATAAGGTTATCAATACTGCTTTGTAACAGACCAGGTGCTCCTCTGAAACCTGTTCATTCGCTCTGTGCTTGCTCAGCAGGCTATTCCACTTCTCCAGCTCACTCGATCACCTTGGCTTGCTGTCAGGAAGCTTTAATAGTGATTAGACTTACTGTTCGTACACAATGTGCCAGTTAAATGGACTCATAGATGTGTGTCTTTTTCTGATTAATGTTGCCACATAGTCATCAATACAATACACATCACCTTGATTTTAAATTCACTTGGTGAACAAGTTTAAATTGTTTTCTTGCTGGTAATTCTGACGAGTACTCAGAGGAATGTGCCCTGGGATGTGTGCGTGTGCGCGTGCTGTTGTAAAGAGATGTCTAACTAGTTTTTCTTCCCATTAAGTACTCCTCTGTGACAGACAGTCCCAACTCTTAGTTTTTCCTGCACAGCCTCTTAAATTTCTGATCTCAAATATTTTTTACCCATTTCTGTCATTTGCAGCTGTCCACATGGAAAAGTCAAATTCCTTCTAGAAAAAGGTTTTTAGTCAGCTGAGACAAAGATTGAGCTATTTAGTCACAGTGACAAGAGGCATGTTTGGAGGAGTAAAGATGAGGTTTTCAGACCTAAGAACACTTCCAAGCTCCTTAGACTACGATGACCTGGTTGACTGAGAACCTTCACAGACACATGGTGGTGGTGGTAGCATCATGCTCTGAGGCTATTTTGCTGTCAGTGGTACCGGTACACATCACATCTTGAATGGTCTCCCAAAAGCCCCGACTTTGGGGCCAGGAAACCAACAAATTTAAATGAATCATTTCTGCTAAGAGTGGTCAAATATCCAGCTAAAAGGTTATTAATGACTACAAAAGGTGTCTGGTTGAGATGTACTTCCAAAGGATTTATAAACAAATATTAATGGGCATGTACATTTACTTTTGATCCTGTGTGTATATGTTTGACCTTGTGTAGATTAGGAAAAAAACAGAAATAATTATAAATAATTCTTGTTTTCTAAATCGATTAAAGATGTATGCTGTACAATCATTCCACCCTGGAAAAAGAATAGTTTAAAGAAATAATTAAAAGCCCAAAATTACCTTGACACTCAGTCCCACAATGAGTGTATGTAAACGTTTTATCACAACTTTAGTGTGACCAACACTAAATTGTACTTACACACAGAGTAAATTATAACAGTTTCTTCCTGAGTAGGAAAAAAATATGTAAAATCTGCACAGCGAATACTAACAAGAGTTTTAAAATGAATATAGTGGAAGCAAAACAACTGAGGTATCATGAAGCTGAAATTCTCGTTTTAACAGTACTTGAGTAAAAAAAAATAGGTTAGAAAGTTACTACTTAATCGGCAACAACAAAGAACTGAACCAGATCAGTTGTTTCAAATAATCACAGACAAAGCTTTTGTGGCTTGATCTATTGTGAGGCTCCCAACTGTGTTTATTTTTGCAAATTCAGTCACGCGGTATAAGAAAAGGTCCCAGGTAATGCACTGCGCTCTCTTTGAAAGCTGCCAGAGGGATGATGTCATCTTCCTCAGAAAAGGGAGTGGAGAAGGGGGCGGAGCTTCAGGCGTTGCCAAGTACACTTCAGTTTCAGGTGTGCTTCAACTTTCACAACAAGTCGCCGGTAGAGCTGGAGCAGCTGGAGCTTACAGAGCGAAACTTCACTGAGTCGTTGTGGGGTTTTTATACAATTAAACTTTAACGAAATTTGAGCAGAACAGATGAAAAAGCACAGCTCGCTTTCACTGTGTGGACAATGCACTGGGAAAAAATCCTTCGTTTGACCAACGGAAAGGTGAGCGCCGCTTTTTTGCGCATGTTTTATTCGCTTTACTTTTTTTTATTATTAAAGATAGATTTTTTTTTTTTCGGTGCTCCTTTTGGATTCCTGTTCAATGTTTACAAGGAAAGTGATTAATCGGGAGCTTTAGTTTCTCCCGGATGCGTTGTACTTTGCGTTGTTGACAATTGCATCTGTCATCCATTAGTCATGCCGCTCAGAATACAGGTGAGCCTCCGGTGTTTTGGTTTCTACCGGTTATGGTGTGGCAGTATGGGGGATTTGAGTAGTAAATACTCGGATGAATAACCAGTGCGTGTAACTCCCTTATGTGTGTGTGTGTGTGTGTGTGTGTGTGTGTGTGTGTAAGTTTGCTGTGCTTCCTGAGCCCCCATGGTGTGATGTGAGGTCCAGATGATTATTTTGTGTGAATACTAAGTGATGAGAAGAATATTTTCATCAGTCTCTCCCAAAGGTTTGGCAATGTTCTTCCCCTGAGGTGTTTGAGGAAATGAATCACACCAGCGACCTGTGATTGAAGGTGTTAGATTCATCATTGTCTCAGATAGGGTGGTCTAGTTTTAGAAAAATTGAGGAAACACAATTTAGATGGTGTTTGGATTTTGCGCGGATGTTTCGTGGTCTGTTGATAAAATCGGGTCATTTTGAAAAACAAAGAAGAAAAATCTGTGAAATTGCTTTAAACCCAAATCTAATATCCTGCTAGTCCTGTTTTGTTTTGGGGGTTTTTGGCTTCCAGAACAACGAAATCAGAGTCCAGGTTTTTCGAGTTGAGTTTTGTGTGGATGTGCTGAAAATGACAAAAGTTATTTTTCCTTAACTTTCATTTCTTTGCAAGTCCATGAATAAAAAAACCGCTTACTTGGCATCTTCCTCTTTAGTTAAACTGACCGCAAGTGACCTGTTCAACCCACTCAATTAGCCTCGTTCCAGTCTGCATTCTACAAAAATGCAGAAGTTTCCTTTTTTTTTAACATGTCAGCAAAATGACCAAAAACTCATATATTGCAATTCATCCTTTTTCCTCCCTGCCTCACTCCCTTTTTTGTTTTCCTCGCAAATCCTTTGATTTCTTCCCTCACCCTTCACGTACTTGAATCTGTCTTTTTTTTCCTCTTTCATCGCTTCAGATCGACCGGCTGGAAGTAAGTGGCCTGGGCCAGGCACCCCTGTCTGTTTCATGTGGGGCAGACAGTTCGTTCCAGGGGGGTGAGGATATCACCCCAGACCCTCACCGCACCAAGCAGGCCATCGCCCAGCTGCAACAGAAAATCCTCAAGCTCACAGAGCAGATTAAGATCGAGCAGACAGCCAGGGATGACAATGTTGCAGAGTACCTCAAACTGGCCAACAACGCCGACAAACAGCAGAGCACACGCATCAAACAGGTGAAACGAGGAATTATTGTTAGATTTTTTTGTATTAAAGCCAGCACCTCATTGCCTTGTGCTTTTAGTAGGCTGGTGAGATTAGATCACAATTAGTGCATAAACACCAAACCGGTTTGATCAGTTTGTTTTACCTTGGCTTTTCCTCAGAGGCAGGGAGGGAACTTTCTAAATATATTTAAGTGGATAATTGCGGACTGATTTGCATTTCATTGACTAATAAATTCCTGTCCTGTGGCTGTCAGGTTTTTGAGAAAAAGAACCAGAAGTCGGCACAGACCATCCAGCAGCTGCAAAGGAAACTGGAGCACTACCACCGGAGGCTGCGAGAAGCGGAACACAACGGTATCCCACGCCAGCCCAAGGATGTTCTGCGGGACATGCAGCAGGGCCTGAAGGATGTCGGAGCCAAAGTCACAGGCTTCAGTGAGGGCGTGGTGGATAGTGTTAAGGGTGGCCTCTCCAGCTTCTCACAGGCTACCCACTCTGCTGCTGGTGCAGTCGTCTCCAAACCACGAGAGATCGCCTCCCTTATTCGCAACAAATTCGGGAGCGCTGATAACATCTCTTCACTTAAAGACTCTCTGGATGACCCTTCAGTAGAAGAAGGTGTGACAAGTACTGGAGGACGTTCCCTGGGAAGCACTGGGCATCACTTCCAGTCCAGTCCGAAGTATGGTAGCGAGGATGACTGCTCTAGTGCTACATCAGGCTCAGTGGGGGCTAATAGCACAACAGGGGCCCCTGGGGGTCCCCCCAGTTCCAAGGGAAACACACTGGAGAGGAGCCAGAGTTCCAGCTTTGACATGCTGCTGCAGGAGGTGCAGGAGTTGAGAGATGGCCAGGCAAGGCTAGAGGAGAGCCTGGAAGGTTTGAAGAGCCACTATCAAAGAGACTACACAGTTGTTATGCAAGCACTGCAGGAAGAACGCTTCAGGTAAAGAGAAAAAAAACTAGAACTTGCCAGAATGTTTGTTCCATACATGCCTGAGTGTGTAACGAGAAATCCCCGCGAATGTCAACAGTGCGTAATCAGGAATAACCTGCTATAGTTAGAAACACTTCTCTGGAACCATCTTAGTTATGCATATTGCTATTCATCATCGCAAGGTACACTTGGCCTGCTTGTGCATTAGAGAGATTTTACCAATATTAGCAGCATTACCTCACAGTAGATAAGAAACCTTTTACCTACAGTTCATCAACATTAACATCAGAACAGCTCAAATTCTTTTATACTCATTCTCAAAGCAGCAGTTGGCATGTAAGCCGAGAACAGCACAAAAGTGCATGAGCTTTAAAACACAGGGCACAAGGACTGAGAACAGATCTAATGATCAGCTTGAATAGAAAAAGAAACATGTGCATTTTTCTTCCTAAAATGTCCAAGTTCAAAGTGATCTGTTTGACCTCTTAGATTAAAATTGCCAACAGAGACAAATGGCATCTAAGGAGCTATTTTCACCCTTCCCAGGGGAGGGAGTACTCCATCCAGAAACCAGTAATGCTGCTAAAAACTCCTCAGGAGCTGAATCCACCCATAACATATCTGCAGTTATTTCATAGTGGACATTTGTTAAGGAATCATTTCTAAACATTAAAAAAAGACAGGTAAAACTTCTAAATCATGTGTCATCGCCCTACTTAGAGACTTTTTGCTGGATTTTATACCAACCTGTTAAAAGATCTTAAAAATAAGAAACAGTCAAGTTGACTCATGTCTATTCTTGTCCTTTGCTGTCCATCCAGCTTTATGTGCCTGCCAAAATAAACAACAGTATAGATTCATCGCCTCTTGTTGGGCACACATTCCATTGGCCAGTCTAATACTGCCGAGTCTCTTGTGATAGGCTAGTTGAATCAGCAGATGAGCAAGCATATCCTAATCTTGTCAGGGCGAGTCATCAGCTCAGTCAGGTGCCATGTGGCCAGATGCCCTCAGGGTCTATTCCCACTAATTCCTGCGTGCGTTTCTTTGTCTAAGCTAATTATGCCACAGACTCTCACATGTGTTCGTGTGTGTTTCTTTTACTTACGCATGCGTTCAGGTGTGAACGTCTGGAGGAGCAGCTCAACGATCTCACAGAACTTCACCAGAATGAGATCCTCAACCTTAAACAGGAGCTGGCCAGCATGGAGGAGAAGATCGCCTACCAGTCCTACGAAAGAGCCAGAGACATCCAGGTTTGTAGTTCAAGATAATGTCAGCAAGCACCAGCACCCATTTTTATCATGATAAGCAGTTTCATTTTCATTAACAGATATGCATGAGGAATGGTAGTGATTACACCAAAGTAATGATAGATAACAAAGCACTGCAAAACAACTGATAAATGCACACCAGTGACAACATCTCTCACTGTCACACAGATTTGTCTAAAGAGGCTTTTTAATTTGTCTATTAGAGAACCAAACTCTATCTGCAAAAAACAATAAAACAAGGAGGAAAAATGTGAAACAAATGTAAAAGCAATGTAAATATAAAAAAAAGAGACCTAAATAAATTAAGGTGGGAGAAGGTAGATTGTAAACATGAAAAATGTCACTGTGTTGACAGTCGCTATTACAGTTATTAAAGGGCAGATGTCATTGTCACTGGAAGTTAAAAATGTTATCTTATCTGGTGACATCATTATGAGTTCATAGAGAAATGTGAGACAGGTTGTAGTGTATAGGTGTTTTGTTTTTTTTCATAGCAGTGCTTTTGTTTCACAACCATTTTTGTTACTAATGCCTCCATCATCGGCAAGGGACATGCCAGATTAATTTTATCAGAGGCCCTCGTGTGATTTTTAAAAATCAGCCGCCACGCCTGTTTTTTGTGCAATACATTCGGCCCAGACAGGCAAAGTCTGAGTTTTATTGGAACAGCTGCAATCGGCAGCTACAGACCTGATTTCACTAAATCAGGCTGCCAATAATAAATGTTGAACAAAAAAATGTTCTGGCACACCTTTCTGATAGATTTAAACCTGCTTGTTCTATGACTGGGTCACCACACTGTGTACTGACACCAGCCCAAGTAAATTTGAATCTAAAATGCTGTCCAAAATGTGATTAGCTGAATTCCCCTAAATGGCAATTCACACTGAAATTATATTATTACAGGACCTCTGTGTGTGAGACACAATACAGTAGATCATTTTTGGTGGATTTTTTTTTTTTTCGCTTTGAAATGACGAACATGACAAAATCATACCAGACTGAGATCACAGAAGGCCGCTGCAATTATTACATATTAATAGGGGTCCACTGTTATGTTAGTCCTGTGTGAATTGGGCTTTAAGAGTGTCAGCAGCTGCAGCAGAGTAATTACATTTTAGAATGCATTGAGCCTTATTATTACTGTTGCAGCACTGCATTTTATTCTGACCACTTATGGCTTGCACGCTTGACCTCCCAAAGCTAAAATGGGCCTGTGTTGGAATAATGGAAGTGGCTGGCCTCTCAACCTTCCTGTCTTAAGCACTAGTAAGCTAAAGAAAGCTGGTCAGACGAGACCTTATTGTGTCAGTTTTAAGTTAAACTGAAGTTTTGAGTCGTGCACAAACCCTCCATCAGTTAACTGCCTTATCTAAATGTCTGTGTTGACTCTGTACACAAGGAGATGAGTTCAAGGCCCTGGTCTGTCCATCAGCTTTGTTTTTTTTGGGGGGGGGGGGGTTCAAAACATTAACTATCCCTTGAAAATGTCTCACATTACTTGCATCCTTTCCTCTTGTCCATAAAGGCTAAGGTGTGTGTGTTTTGTCCCTGCATAAAACTTTTTTCACGCCTCATATTGCTCATTACAGCATTCCCTTCCTACACAGCAGGGGGTGGTAGAGAGCCATGAAATGTACTGTCAACAGCTACTTCAAACTCTAACAGAACCAGCAGTTACTTTATTTATAAAACACCTTTCATTGAAACAGGAGCCTGAGGTGCTTCACAGATGACTGAAATTTCAGTAACAGGATGTAATAAATGCTGTAATAAAAGCAATAAAACTAGATTAAAATCTAGATCAAATAACTAAAAAAAACAACAAAATATCATTAAGTAAAATTGCATAAGCAATATAAGTACAATAAAGCTAAGCTAATAAAATAGGATTACTGAAAAAGCAGATATAGTTAAATGAAGGAAATGTCTGAAAATCTCTGACGGGTAACATGTATCGATAATGTGCAGGATATTTAAGTGTTTTTGGATAACTTATCAATTACAGTTACAAACAAACATGCTTAAGAACACTTCACACTGGTCTAATGTGGATCACATGAGTCTATTTAAAATAATCAAAAGTATAAAAGGCTGCACTCAGGCAAGTGAGAAGTTTTTATGTTTTTGTTCAGTGTTTTTCCACACATGAGAACAAAGGAAAGGCAAAATCATATCTGACTTTAAATCACAGTAAAAAGATCAGTATCTTGCTATTGTGCTTTGGATTAGTTTATGTTTATGAAACTGGTGACTAAGCTAAATGGATTTCCTCTCGTCGTCCTCTACAGGAGGCTTTGGAGGCCTGTCAAACCAGGATCTCTAAGATGGAGCTGCAGCAGCAGCAACAGCAGGTCGTCCAGTTGGAGGGGTTGGAAAATGCCACAGCCCGGACCCTCCTGGGAAAACTTATCAATGTGCTGCTGGCCCTAATGGCTGTCCTTCTGGTCTTTGTTTCAACTGTAGCCAACTGTGTGGTCCCTTTGATGAAGACGCGCTCACGCTCGCTCTCCACCCTCCTCCTCATCCTCCTGCTGGCCTTCTTGTGGAGAAACTGGGACGCTCTCTCGGGGTATACGCACCGTGCGCTGCAGCCCCCGGGATGACCAGATTACATTCAGCACATGTTGCTTTGGTGACAACAAGAAAATGTAACTGTAGCTGCAGTCTGCAGTCGGTTCAGCTGAGCACATTTGGAAGCGGCCCGGATAAAGAGCAAGAAGTGTGAAGAAGAGTGAAGAAGAGAACATTCACATTTAGGAAGGACAAGACTGTTTACATTTTTAAAACGAACTTTTGTGTTGTTATCCCTCACAGAATGCAGTATTGTACTGTTTTTACCCTTAGAGTTTAATCAATTATAATGTTATTTCTAATAATATTATTTTATTTTCAATGTTATTTTATTCAGTACCATGTAGCATTACACTCCTCTCACTCTACACAAAGGGGAGTTTAGTCAGGAAACTGGGCTGGAGAGCTGCCACAAAGGCCCAGTCTAATTGTAGAGACATGCAAATGTGAGAATGTGGTTGATTGCCTTTAGGAAGAGAACTCTTACTTAGCTGTGATTAGTAGTTTTGAACCATGGCTGAAAAACCTTCCTGGAAGTTTCGCCTTTCTTGCTGTGATGAAATTTGTTCAGGTAGAACATTTTGAAGGAATGAGTGTCATGCAGACGTACAATTTCTAATGGCAAAGATCGCTTTTACTTTTTTAAAGTTAAAAAAGAATTGAAAATAGGGAAGATAATGAATGGCACAAAGACTCTAGAGGGGGAAGCTGAGATGGTGTGCCCACCATAAAAACAGCACATGAATACTACAGAGAACATCTGGCTGCTGTCTAGCATCTGCCATATTTGTAACTTGTATACAGTGCTGCACGTTGTCATGAAGAAAATTACTTCCAAAGCAGATTTACTTTTAAAAGCGATGATAAAGGGCTGTTGTCCAAGTAAAATTAGGTTGCCAGGACAATTGGCCTCCCACCCCACCATTATGATGTGATCAAGTTAAGAAAGAAGGGGAGACCACTGGTGCTTTTCCAGTTCTGTCTCAGAACCATCATGAATACTGCTGCTTCAAATCTACAGTGCAAGTCATCTCCACTGCCATGCCAGTCAAATGCACATTGCCTGTATGTGACTTTATACTACTGACACAGTTTCCCTGCGTGTTATCTTTTCTTTCTTTTCTTTTTTTTAATGTACCACCGTATCGCTATGTCAAGGTGTTATCACCCAGTGCCAAACTGAAGTTTGCCCAGGGATGCCTAAGCACCCAAAAGGTCCAAGCAGCTGTGGCTTCTTTCCATATATGTCATGAATGTCTTGCCAGATGCAACTTTTGTAAGGGGGAAAGTAATTCGCAATCTGAACATGACCTTGCCTCCAGATGCTCAGTAGTGTGTTTCTACACATTTTGCTTCCATGAGTAGAGCTTGGCATTCGGCCTCTCTTTTACTCTCACTTTCTAATCTAGTCAAGGACACTACAAGATGACCTAGCACGTTAACTAGTCTGCACTGTATTTAATGCCAAGAAGCTGATTTCCTAACAGACATTGTGATCATTTGAACTGTACAGCTGCACTTTAGCACACTGATAGACAGCATGTAGGTCAGGCCTTTGATAGAGACTACAAAGCTTGACACTCTCTGAGAAGTGAAGCGCTGATGCAGATTGAAACTGCTGACATGCTTTTCTACAGGAAATAAAAAAAAACCAAGGAAATTCAGTGCATTTTTGTCAAAATGTGAGTAAACTTGTTTCCTCTCAAGTTGAACCGCAGTAGGCAGATTTATTGATCTGTCAGTGATGTGTAATCAAAGGTACAATAGACAAGTTGGGAGTGAGCTGACCTTTGACTTTAGTTTGTCCTTGCAGCAGCACCTCTGATCTTGGGTTGTGTGCTAAACCACTTCAGTGCCTTCTGATGTCCTTTTCTAAGTGTGGAATAAATAAAGTGCATTCCTGACTAATTTATGCACATTCCGTATTTCTTCAAAAGACATGTTTCCTTTTTGTTTATTTATTTTCTTGTGTGTCTGATGCTTCTTCGCAGTGTTGTAGTGGAAAGTGTGCTTTTAAAGTCATCTTGCAGATGCTTTTCCTGACCGCTAGATGGAGCTCGTTTACCTGGAAAAGCCTTGACGTTCCTTCAGTATGAAAGCCGTGCTCAGTTTGTGTGAATGGTGTGCTCTGAGGGTGGGGGGAAGAGGTGTGACTCCTTATCAGGAAGGAAACAGGTTCTGAGGAGGGGGTCTTAAATGCCAAAAGTTAGCTTGTGCAGCAACAGATATTGTTTTTATTACAAACGAGAGATCGAGTGTACCCCCACTTTATATCACTGTAATGCACCCACACATGGAGCCTAATTCGGTTCAGTGTCGTTTTCTTGATTGAGCTGCACCAAACCGCAGCGGTCACGCCTCGCTATGGATATTTGATGCTGACAGTTCTGCCCCAGACTGCGCCTTGTCCCTGCATCCCTGCCAGACCTCATTGTAGCCGCTGGCTCCCTACTCCCTGACGAAAGTCTGCACTTACATGCACGCGCACTGTGTCGACACTATTTGGCTCATTCATTGTGCTCTGCACTTGGGGGGTCATTATATTGCACTTTATCGGAGCACTTTGCTCCTTTTCTACACTGCCAGATTTGATGCGCATGGCTGTGCGCCAAGGTAAACACGGAGCGCACTTATCTACCCAACTGAAAGCTGCAAGTAGAGATTGGGGGTTGGGGTGGGAGGGTGTGGAGAGAGAGTGGGCTTGTCCCCCAGAGGAGTACGCAGTAAATAGGCACAAGCGATTGCTCGCGATTTAGCATCAACTTTAATTATTTCATGTATTCAGAGATAACACTTTTCTCGGGCTCCCCTGCAAACTGATTTATGCAGCGTCTGACTCACTTGTTGTCTTTCCTCGACTAGGAGTCATTCATTTCTATTCAGAGATGTGAGCATATGCACACTCCGTCGAGAAAGCAAAAAAAAAAGGGGGGGGGGATGCTAACCATATTCGTGCATTTTTGAGTGGGGGCACATGTGTTGCGCTTGAATATTTATGAGGTAAAACGTGCAAAAGCAGTGTTGGATAGATGTGAATGTCAAAAACCGGAAAGGTGTGCTGATGTGCCCATCTGGTAGCACTTTCACGGTCTTTACCGTGCCGTATGTGCCCAAAACGAAACCCTCCGGATCTGCAGAACTAATCTGAGAGCCGAGGGACCGGGAAGCACAGGAGGTGGGCTTGTGACCCGCCATTAACCCCAAGATGAGCGGAACCACGCACGGGTGGAGACTCATCAAGTGGCTCACCTTGAAAGGAAGATGATCATTATGACTTCATATGGCACGACTTCACATTATGTCTTAAATAATAGTTATTGTACCTGAGTGATTGAAAGGAATCAGGATCTAATCAACGAACGAAGATCAATCACAGCTGACTGGGCTGACAGAGCGCTTTGATGGGACGTTCCATTAAGAGGGAGGCAGTGCCATTTTTCAGGGTTAATGAGTTAACGCCCCATGCTCGCAGCAAAGTCCATCTTTACTAATATTTGTAATCGAAGAATGCTTTGCTTATAAATAAATATACGTATATATTTTTAAATAACCAGCGCTGAAACCTGACTCAAAATAAGTTTGTCCTTTGTGCGGCGATGTCCAGAAAATGCACAACACCAAATCAGTTGGAACTATTTATTCCCTGTTGTCTATTCTGTCAAGATGATTAAAATATCACCCAGGCGGTGTGGCTCAGTGTGCCCCAGGAGAGTGACTGCTGAGCTGCACGATAGGCAGAGAGGGACAGAGGAGGTAGCCTGAAAAGGAAGCACGACTCGCTTATCGCGTCACTGTGGGTTTAGGCGTTGAGCAGGAAACAGTCTTTCCTCTCGGGTTGTCGCAGTAGGAACAAACACACATTTTTGTCTTTGCTCAATGCACCCCTCGGCACAGAACACGCGGAAGCCGGTCAGAAGGAAAAATGCCTCCTTCGATAGAGATAGCCGTCCTGCTTCTCGGCGTCCTGGCTTTGGAGACGCGCCGGAGTGCCAGCGCGCTGCACATCCAACAGGCTTTCGCGTCTCCAAATCAGACCAATAACTTCGTGGTGGATCCAGTGTCCAGAAAAGTCTACCTGGCTACCGTTAACACAATTTACCAGCTGAATGGGACCTTGACAGCTGAAGTGGAGAAGAGGACTGGACCGGTGGAGGACAACCTGTTGTGCCATGCGCCACAGCTTCCCCAGGCTCCCTGCGAGCATCCCAAATCCCTCACTGACAATTACAACAAGCTCCTGAAACTGGACCGGGAGCAAGGGATCGTGGTTGCGTGCGGATCTGTGTATCAAGGCTTCTGTGAGCTCAGAAAAATGGATAATATTTCAGAAATAGCGGTGGAGTTCCCACCCCAGGGTGAGAAGACTGTTTTCCCCAGCATGCTGAACATCGCTGCCAATCACCCGAACGCATCCACCGTGGGGCTCATCTTCAAAAGCCACGGGGGAAACACCCGGCTTCTGGTTGGGGCGACATACACAGGGGCTGGAACTCAGTTTTTCCCAAAAAACCACAGCAAAGAAGATCTGCGTTTTGAAAACACCCCGGAGATCGCCATCCGCTCTTTGAACATCAAGGATTTATCCAGACTTTTCACCTATGACATTAACCCTTCCGAGGATAATGTATTCAAGATCAAACAAGAGGTTAAAACCAAAAATAAACTAAGCTTCGTACACGCGTTCATCCAGAAGACTTACTCATATATTGCCTTCAATAATGATGCGAAAATGGGCCACAAGGAGAGCCAGCCCAACAGCATCCTCGCGAGGATATGCCTGGACACCGAGAACCCCCGAAAATCCACCGGGCCAGAGAGCAGGAAGCTCACTGAATCCTACATCCAGATGCCTTTACAGTGTGGATTTAACGGGAACTTTTACAACCGGGTGTTGTCCGTGTACCCCACGGAGATCCACGCAGGTGATGGGAAAAGCCCCGAGCCATACTTGTTTGGAGTGTTTTCTAAGGGAGACAGAAAGTCTGCACTTTGCGCTTTCAAGTTTGGAGACATCGAGGAGGAGATACGGCAAGGCCGCAGGAACTGCTCAAACTCTCCCAGCAGCGACGTTCAGGTGCTGGACAGTGTGATACAGGGCTCCGGTTCAGCCTGCATCCAGAAGGGAAACCTTGTGGTAAGGGCGTTGTAAACATTTAATTAGGCAATACAAAAATACTTAATTTATGTAATTATTTTGATCTGATTTTAAGCTGCCATGTTAATGAAATATATACATTCTGTCAAATAAAACGCACTCTAAAACTTAGCATAAGCTTTGCTGAAAACGAAACTTATTTTACAGATCAGTTTATCCATTTCTTGACATGAAAGTGAGAAAAAAAAATAAGTCAGCGTCACTGAGATATTTTCTGCATCATTATTTCATATGTTTTTATTTCTTTTCTCTTCGTTATACTGGGTGCCAAAACGTGCTCGTCCAATAAACCTGCTTGAGATTTATGAATCCTCTTGGCCATTACAGTTGTTCAGGCTGCAATAAGATTTACTCCCTCACGTCTGCTGCTACTCTCTGACAGTTTCCATTTATGCTTACGAACAATTATCCTCTTTAACCCTCAAACTGTTGATTCAAAGAAAGGATCTCCCATGTTAGGAGTAGAGGTGATAGCTGGAAAGACCCTCTAGAGCCACATTGAGGGTTGTGGGAAGGGTGAGACTAATCTCATATCCAGCAACTCTCCCCTTTTACCAAATGTGAGGATTGTAAGGGGTCAGTAGTTTACTATGTTTTCCAGTAAAACCCCAGACATTTTTATTTAGTGTGTGCTTCTGACTGAAGTTCAACTCTAAATTTAGCCCAATGTTTGACCGATAAATAGCTCCTCTGTTCCAAGCACGTGATCAAATATTATCACGTGTATTTTATTACAACCTTCCTACTCATACGTGTGTCCTCAAGGAAATTTTAGCATTGCAAGGAATGCAGAGAAATTCCAGATTTTCATTGTGGTGGTTTTGACTGACAGAGTTGAGGTCAAAGGAGACTGTCTCGCCACCACTGTGCTGTCAGGTCAGAAAGTTGCCCTCCTTGCTGGCACTGCCTTGTTTGCCGTGGCCCCGGGGCCACTCCTCTCGTGACCAGTTTTTCTGAATACCATCTCTGGTCGCCCACAAACCCTTTTTGAGATAGACAACTGCTTAGTTCAAAGTGATTTGTGCCCTTTGTTTTTTCTCCTGCTGCAGTACAACCCACTTACCACTCATAGACTAAAGTTAGTCTTTCCTCATTTACGTAGCCGTGGCCGTTGAAATGTGATCTTTTTTGTAGTCGACAGTTTGAAGGCCAACACTGAAGGAAAGCCAGACACAATTTATGATAAGAGAGACGATGCCTCGAGCAGAAGGGCCCGTGGGAAAAGACTCTACAAATATCCAGTGTGCTTAATTTCTTTTTTTTTTCTTGTGTGCTCTAAAATATTCAGAGAATTCCCAATAGATCCTGGTGCTCATCCAAGCGCAGCACTAATGTTTTATCATTGCCCACTGAGGATTTGACAAAAGCAAAGTCTTATGAGTGTTGAAGACCCTTATAAGCCCATTTCAAGTATTCACTGAGATGTCTGAAAAGTGATTTAGCAGAATGAGCAACGCCAGTGTGATAGCTTCTATCAGCCCTTGCTTTCCACACGCCTCCTTTTGTGCCCAGCTCTCTCCTTCTTCTAATCTTCATGTCATGCTTCCATATGAAAGCTGATGAGAATTGATCTTTCTCTCTCACTCTGTTTGTATTCTAGTTGCAGCCCGAGCAGCTGGACTGCGGTGCAGCCCACCTGCAGCACCCACTGGCATTACAAAGACCCCTTAGGGCCATTCCTCTGCTTGAATACCCGGGTCTCAGTTCAGTCTCTGTGGACAACGTGCAAAACCACACCGTGGTTTTTCTGGGA